ATGACCTATCTTCTTAAAGAAGAGAGTGTGATCTGATTGAGCCTATATGTATCCGAATTTGTCCAAAGCTAGTCTAAACCTATCAAACCAAGCTCTCGAGGATTGTTTCAGCCCGTACAAGGCCTTCTTCAAAAGGCAAATTTTCTTTCCTGCTTCTGTACTATAAAAACCAAGGGGTAATTCCATATATACTTCCTCTTGCAAGTCTCCATTAAAGAAGGCATTCTTAACATCCAACTGAAAATAGTGGCCATGAGAAGTTTGCAGCAATGGATAGAAGAACTCTGATAGTGTTTGTTTATAGTCTATGTCATAAGTTTATGTGAATCCCTTCGCATCCAATCTAGCCTTATACCTCTCTATAGTACCATCAGCATTATATTTCACAGTAAACACCCATCTGCATCCAATAGGTTTCTTCCCTTCAGGCTAGTTAACTAGTTCCCATGTGTTGTTCTTGACAAGAGCATCCATCTTTATTTACATTGCTTCCTTCCATTCAGGTATCAAAAGAGCTTCTTGCATTCTTCTAGGTATAGGAATAGCAGAAATAGATGCCAAGTAAGATCTGTAGGATTCTGAGAGACACTTGGAGATGCAATGGGCAGTGGATGAGGTGCAACGACACTTCCCTTTATGAATAGCAATTGGAAGATCAATGTCATCTGTCAGTGAAGGCTGAACCTCTGTAACAGTGGGATCAATAGTGGGAGCAGTAGTAATGTTTGGATCTTGAGTTGTAGAAGATGTTGGAACTGGCCTGGATTGTTGTTGAGTACGAGAATCAACCTGCCTCCACCACTTTCTGTGATACACTCTCAACTCCCTGCATTTTTAACAACCTTCTTCGCAACTCCCCCATCGGTAACCAGGACAAGTAAAGGAACTCTTGGAGCTGAAATTGAAATCTCTTCCTCACTATTCTCCCCCTGAGTAGAAGCCTTATGATAGTAGGGCATATCCTCAAAGAAGGTGACATCCATGGACACAAAGCATTTCCTTGAAACTGGCTCATAACACCAATATCCCTTTTGATTTTGTGCATACCCAAGGAAAATACACTTAGTGGCTTTTGGATCAAACTTAGAGCGATGAGGTCCAAGAATTTGAACAAAACAAGTACACCAAAAAGTTTTGAGAGGAATAGTGAATAGGTCCTTATCTGGATATGGAAGACTGAACGGGGTTTGCATGTTTAGGACCTGTGAAGGAACCCTATTAATGAGGTATATGGCTATACGGATTGCAACTCCCTAGAAGCGTATGGGAACATTGGAGTTTTTTTCTCTCAACAACCCCGTTTTGCTGAGGTGTGTGTGGATAGGTGCTCTGATGAATGATTGCATGATCAAGGAGATAGGATGCCAAGGGTTTTGCAAAATATTCCTTGGCATTATCAGATCTAAGAATCTTGATCTTGGTTTCAAATTGAGTTAGGATCACCTGATGGAAAGCTTGGGTCAGAGAAAGGACCTCATCTCGAGAGTGCATAAGATAGACCCATGAAAAACGGGTATAGTCATCAATAAATAATAAGAAATATCTGTAACCCCCCGCCCCCATGGTGGGAGTATGGTAGGGCCCCCAAACATCGGTATGCATAGTCTCAAAAGGAAGGTCGCTGCTTTTATTACTTAAAGGATAAGATGATCTACTATGTTTTGCAAGTTCAGAACTTTCACATTTTAACCCAAACACTTCTACTAACTCAAACAAGTTTGGAAAAAGACTTTTTAAAGACCCAAAAGATAAATGACCTAAATGGTTGTGCCAAAGCATAATCTTACTACAAGACTGAGAAACAAACAATTTTCCTGCTTCACTCTGTTCCCCTTGTGAATGTTCCAGCAAGTAGACTCCATTCATCTCACGGCCAATCCCAATCACCTTCTTCATTTCCAGATCCTAAAAAAATACACCGGTCAGGGAAAAAAGTTACTGAACAGTTTTGATTTTTAGTAATATTACTAACTGAAACTAAGTTAGCACTAAGCTTGGGAACATGCAAAGCTGGGGATAGGGTGATGGTATTTGATAATCTAATGTCTCCCTTGCTAGAAATTGGTACAAGAGAGCAATCAGCAATAGAAACTTTGTCTCTCCCAAAGGATAAACAATAGGTGCTAAATAGAGTACTAGTCATATGATCTGAAGCACTTGAACCTATTACCTAGGAAGGTCCAGTATTATTTGGGACAAAAGCATGACAAGTAGTAGCTCTTGTACTTGTATGAGCAAGGGCTGAAATAAGTTGTTGAGCTGATGTAGGCTTAGCTGAATTACTAAATTAATTTTCAAGCTGAGTCAGAGCAGCTTGAACTGCAGCTAGGGTATCTAGAGTTGTGCATCCTATGCTTGATGAAGTTGTACTATCAGTGTTGACAGCCATATTAGCATTTCCTTTCTTATTTCTAAGCTTTGTTGGAACTAGATGAGGGTGCAACTTCCAATAAGTGTCCTTAGTATGTTTAGGTTTCTTGTAGTGTTCACATACTAAGTCCTTCTTAGCTTCCTTCTTCTCCTTATCTCCCCCAGATTTAGGTCTAACTGCTACCAAGGCTGATTCGGAGGGTTGTTGCTGCAACATAACCTTTCTCCTAGTTTCTTCACTAAGCACTAGAGAATAGGCTTGTGATAAAGTGAAACTATCTCTTGTCAATAATTGTTTTCTCACAATGTCATATTCAGAGTTTAGACTAGCTAAGAACTCAAAAACTTTGTTAGTTTCAACCTGCTTTCTATATGTTTGTTCATCTTTCTGATTCTCCCACTCAATTGTTTCAAGGTGGTCAATTTCATGCCATAGGGATTTTAAGGTTGAAAAGTAAACAAAGACCTGCTTCTCTCCTTGCCTCAGATTTTTAACCTCACATTTTATCTCATAAGCCCTAGCAACATTAAGAGACTAAGCATAGGTTTCCTGCATAACATCCCATATTTGCTTAGTTGTTTTGGCACACAAGTAGTTTCGACTGATGTGTGGCTGCATAGAGTTGCACAGCCATATCATCACCAAAAAATTCTCTTGGACCCACCTAGCATAAGTAGGGTCCTCCTTGGAGGGTTCCTTCACAACCCCTAGCAAGAAGTTCAATTTTCCTCTACCCCCMAAAACTATCATGGCTRATTGGGCCCATTCCAAGTAGTTTAATCCATCAAACTTAACAGTTGTAATCTGAAAGGTGTTTTCAGTCATGTTACCAAAACCACCAGTCCCAAAAGCATCTTCCCCTTGGTTCTTGTACTCCGTTCTAAGTTAAGAACAGGCTTTAAACTACTGTGGCAAGAAAAAGCTGTATTTCAAGGCTGATAACAACTGACCTAGGATAACGATTTTGTAGTTAAATAACAATCAACTACTGTCCTGGGATTGATATCAGTTCTAGACTGATTGATATCAATCCTGAGATTTTCTATCCGTACTTCTCTGAATGAATAACAAAGTCCTTTTGAGTATCAATCTCAAGAAAAGGTACTTACTTTATGAAGAAAAAAKCCCAAAAAACTAATTGCTACCTTTAGTCTTCAAACTTGATCAATCAATTACTGTTAGCACCTTGAATCTTGATCAAAGAACCAAAAAAAAAAACTGATCGACACCTCCAATCTTGATCAAAAATCGATCTTGATCACTCAATTCTTGCCTGATTCTTCCTTATTACAAGAAGCTCTCTCCAATCTTAGGACAGCTGCTAAAGCCTTCTTGCAACCTCCAAGAATCAACCGAAATAAGCATCTTTTTGAACTTTCATCCCTAAACAATTCTCATGTGGTCGGCTGAATTAAATCCACATGAGAAACCCTAGATCTAAGGCACTGATATCAACTTGAAAGAAGAAGAAGAAGAACTGTTTAYTGTATTACAGGTTTGAAGAGAAGAAAAGAGAGAGAGAGAGTGAGTGAAGAGAGGAGAAAAGAAAGAAGGGATTCGGTGGTGAATAATCTTCCGCCCCATACACTCCTTTATTTATAGCTTTTAGGATCCTTACAAGAATAAGAAATAAATAAAAATTATAAACAATAAGGCCAGCAAGCCCAACTTAATAGAAGTTAGAAAGTTCTAATAACAGAAATTAGAAACTACTAAAAAGAAACTAGAAACTACTAATAAAATAAATTAGAAACAACTAGGTGTGGGTATGAAACCACACTCACTAGAACCTGAGTGTGGGTATGGAACCCCACACTCGTGGCTAACCAACTATTTCTTCAGAAGGGAAGAAACCCCACACTCGTGGCTAACCAACTATTTTTTTAGAAAGGAAGAAAAGGTGTAAGGATCTACTGATAGAAGGGATTACGATTAAAGTAAGTTCATGGGTGAAATCTATGGACTTATTTTCTGACTTTACTATGGATGATATAATCAGGAATTGGAAGACTGTAGCATCCTTGTCATCTGCAAAAAGAAGGAAGTAAGAAGTTGGGATCCTCCTGAATCTGGACTCCTTAAATTAAACTTTTGATGGGAGCAGCTTTGACAACCCGGGTGTGGCTGGAATTGGTGGGGTCATAAGAGATGACAGGGGGACAGTAGTGGGGCTGTACTAGGGCCCTATTGGTTGGGGAGACTCCATTACAGCTGAACTAAAGGCAATGTCTTCGGAATACAAAAAGCCATGGAAAAAGGGATCAGGAAGTTGGTTGTAGAAGGCGACTCCAAAGTAGTAATAAGTTGGCTAAAGAAAAATGGGAAGACTCCTTGGGTATTCAGAAACGAGATCAAGAAACTTTACCATATTACAAAGGATATGCAGATATCATACCAGTGGACTCCAAGAGAAGCAAATGGATTTGCGAACCACTAGCGAAACAAGGGGATAATAGGGAGCACTGTTTCTGGGCTCAGTTGTAAGGATGTAAAGCAAATCTTAGATGGATTCTTAAAGGAAAATGGGGTAGCCGAGGCTACTCAACCTCTGTACTAATTTTCATATCTCTTTATTAATAAAAGCACTTTTACTGATAAAAAAAAGTACAGAAAAATTCAAAATACTCACATGAGAAAATTAACCTTGGGACAATATTAATTTGCCTTTCAAATGCCTGAGGTCTTTTGGCCAATTCTTGCAAGGCAATCTTCCATGAGTAAATGTCTAATTTGTTGGACCGCCTAACCAGATCCCCAGCTAAACCTATTATATGCACAAACCAAAAGAAAGTATATTAATGTCAAAGCTGAGATGACTTTTTAACCATGATATGGTAACTCTTTCTATAGCCGTTTCCTTACTATATGAACATCTCTCCAACATCCTAAATAAATTATAGTGAAATCAGAAAGCTACAGATGTTCTATACATGCTGAGCTCAGAACATGAAACAAGTGGCAATTCGTGGGGGCCCAAGACCCATATAAAGTCCTGTCTCCCCAGACCCAATACTGAAATTTTCTTTTTTATTCATTTTTCCATGACTGCTGAGGAACAGTAATCTAGGGATCACATAAAAGCAAGAGTTGAGTGAAGATCATACCATACATGTCAGCTGTAATCAAAGAGGTAAGAAGTGCACTGGAGGACTGTGATGTCAGGTCTTCTAATGCAGTTTCAGAGTAGAGATACATGATCAAATCCTTTTGGCCCGCATAAGCAGCCAATATGAGCGGAGTATTGATACCACCATTATCAGTGATCAATAGCAATTTACGATTTATACTCAATAAGCCCTTTGCAAACTCAATTCTTCCAAATAAAGCAGCATAATGAAGAGATGTAAGCCCATAGGAGTTTCGAATTTCCAACTGTTGTGCTGAAATGTGGCAGGACATATCATTGAGAAAATCTGTGTCTCCTTTCATGGCTGCAATATGGAGAGCAGTGTTCATTAATGACATATCAATCGGAACACTCATGCTTCTGAAGTCTGAGAAATTCGCTGCTTCAATATCTCTGTCCAGTTCTGTCTTATATAGTGTTCCATATATGCCAAAGCCTCCATACAAATTGCCTTCTGCAATCAGTTGTAGATTGTGAGTCATTAAACATGAATTACATCCACAAACATTCAGAAAAAGAACAAAATAAAGAGTTGTTACTAGATGGGATTTAGAGTAGAATTGTTAGAAAAATGATGTATCCAACCACAAAACCAAGCAATCCTTCAAACATTTTAGCAATTAAGTTTCGTAATCTGATAAGGTATTGACTAAATCCTACCTGAAATGTAGATTGCAATGAAGACAAGTGTGTGTGTGCCCCATTGAGTTGCCAATCTTATTGTCAAATGAAATTATGCTTGTACTTTGTCAAAGAAAGATTTCAATGGATGGATGCCTCACCCTGCTCCATGAAACTGTAGTATGAATCTTTCCATCTCTAACTCAATGTGTATGTAACCTCGCTTAACATCCAGAAAATTTGCCAGAAGTTCCCACACACCTTCAGCTGCCTTTAACTCTTTAATACGGGAGAACATCTCAGGACCACAAGAAATTTGAATTGCATGTAGAGCTCTGGCATTCTTCTCTCTCCAGACCACTTTGGCCTTGGGGTCGTTCTCTGATGGCTCACATTCAGTTCCATTGACAATGTCCCAGGTGCCTTGCCCCTTTAAGTAGCTTTCCATGTAAACTTTCCAGTCATCATAGTTATTCAAGGTAGGTGTAAGAAGCTCAGGGACAACCATATTTGATGTTGACATGATAACCTTTTCTACCAAGCAGATGAATCTGACAGTTATGATTGAGAATTCATCAAGAAACAGGGTAACAGGGAACAACATATAATTCATTAGTTATCTTTCTCTTCAAAAAAAGAAACATATAATTCATTGGACTTCAAATTATCTCATCTGTTAAATTTAATCTTGTCATGCTAAAATGGTCATAGAACATTGTTTAGTAAACTAAAGACATTTTTCTAACTCTGGACATGAAACTAATCAAACAAAGAGGACTATTAGATAGACACATCTCTCTCTGTCTGGACGAGCAAAGCACGGCCCTACAATTTATTTATCAATTTGAAACCGCAACCAAGTAATCTCTTTACCATTTGGGAATTGGTTCTGAATAGTGGAGGTCATAATGGTTTTTATCACATACTAAACCAGTAAGCTTTGAAATAAAACTTGTGTAGTTATAGAGATCAATAGATTTTCCTTTGTTTTTGTTTGGTCAATATTATTAGAACTAATCATTCATAGCTCAACTCGAAAAGCTCCGGCTTGCAAATTCGAGGCCCAGACCTAGGATCTTATGTCCATGCCCAGCCTGCATTTGCAGCAGCCCAGAATTTATGGGTGAGCTAAGGCCCAATGCATCTAAAGCTTGTAAACAATGCAGCAAAAAAGAAAAAATGCTAGTCACAGAGACAAGCTGCCCTCCACATTGATCTCAATGAGAATCAACTTAACAGTAAATAGGTACCACCCCAACTCACATTGGTAGACTTAAGAGACTCACTTACCTTGATCTTTCTATGAATCAGCTTTCTGGTGTTTCTCCTTTACCGCTAGCCAGTTTCAGTGGCCTCTCCAAGCTCAACCTTTGTAATAACACCATAACTGTGTGAACCAAATCCTTATTTGTTCTCTGACTGGACAAATCTAACCATCCTTGATCTCCAGTACAATAATCTTTGTTAGAGACCAGAACATAGGAAGTAAGCCTATAATACAAAAAGTATACTTGAGGCAAAGAAAGAAAGGCCGGGTCAGAAAAAGCCAACTGGAAAACCAACTGACAGCTACCAACTCATAAGAGATCAGTTAAAGCTGTTAAAGAACCATAGCAGTCTTGTAACAATCTTGTAACAGTCTTGATGTACTCTATAAAAGGGAGAATGAAGGAATAAGGGGGGACATCTCATACCTTCCAACAAATTCTCTCTCTCTCTCTCTCTCACTCACTTGTTCCCTCCCCCCACCCCACTTTGAATTCAGGAGATTGCACACTCTTGAAGAGGTGTGCCCTGTGTTGGCAAGAGTCCAACAATTGGTATCAGAGATGCCAGAGAGGAAAATGCCGAGCACTCGTTTGGACACCATCGAAGACAGGATGGATCACATAGAAGTCAGTCTATACAAAGTTTCAGGCGACATCCAAAACTTGAAGGAGACACTCATATGGAGCACCTCACTCTTAAACTATCTACATTACGGCATCACCAACAATATGCCAAAGCTTCCAAGTGTGATTTTGGCAAATCTCAAATTCAGTATCTAGGCCATATGGTCACCAAAAGACTAGTCATGGCCAATCCATCTAAGGTGGATTGCATTCAATACAACCACTTCGGTCAAGAGTTTAAGAGGCTTCCTAGGTTTAACTGGATATTACAGGAGATTTATCAAAGGACACGGGGCCATAGCACAACCACTGACCCAACTGCTCCGCAAGGACTCTTTTGCATGGTCAGAGACAGCCCAACAACCCTTTGAACAGCTGAAGGCAGCAGTATCTAGCCCACCTACATTAGCACTCCCTGATTTTCATAAGACTTCTGTCCTAGAATGCAATGCTTCAGGCAAAGGTTTAGGTACTGTTCTTATGCAAGAAGGTCAGCCTATAGCATATTTCAGAAAATCATTATCAGGCGCAGCCTTAGCCTAGTCCACATATGGAAGGGAACTCAAGGCAATAGTAATGGCAGTACAAAGATGGAGAGCCTACTTAGTGGGGCGTTCATGAAGATCAACAAAGCCTAAGTATCTATCAGTCTTCCACTCACTGTCTCATTTTCCCTCGACCTCTCAATGTTCATGGATCCATTTCCGATCCAACTCAACTTATCTTTGACAAAAAAGCAACTCAAATCTATCAGTCTTCATTGAAGCTTTCATGGATGCCAACCTTTCCCTACTACAAGTTCCATCTGTCCCAACAAAATCTTTTCAAGCCAAACTCCAAGCAAAAAGATTGAGACCCACCACAACCACCTCAACTTATCCTACCAGACAAAATGGTATCATGAATGTGCCTATTGCAGGGAGCTCTCGCTACTCTACCATTACTTGCTCCTCTTCAAATGGGAGGAAACTTGATTCAGGTGATGATGGAGTCAAGAGCGTTGAGCAGCTTCTCAAGGAGAAGAAGCGGGTAGAGTTGTATGCCTGAATTGCTTCTGGCAAATTCACAGTACAAAAATCGGGGTATGCTTGATTAAGAACAGAACCTGCATATAGAACACCCATGACTTTTCTTTCTGTAATTTCGATTTAGTAAGTATAACACCATTTGGGTATTCTTATTTATGTTGTTTTGTAGTTTAGCAATCACTTTCTCACACCTATTTTTTTTATATGGATGCAATTTTGTTTTTTCCTCTTTTATTTATTCCATTTCCATTTGATTTTGGGAAAAGCTTTCTGTCCCTATTGAGGAACGGTTTTGCCTATAATCATTTACCAAGGTTTATCATACAGGATGAAGATTTCCGAAGGGAGATTGAGAAGGCTGTTTCTTCTGCATTTCTTAAAAATGGTTCTTGTTCTGCGGACACAACTCTTGCTTCTGGAACAATTGCGCTGGGAGTTCTTGTTTTGGGGAGATCAATGTTAGTGGCAAAGGTAAATGCAGGAGACTGCTGGTAACTCTACCGTCAACTCGTCAAGAGTCATCACCATCATCGATTTCCCTAATTCCAGGCAGCAGCAACAACACAAACATGGCCGTCATGTCTGACCGGATAAAAATCAACGATCAATGGTTAGACTGGAAGCCCCGCAACAAAAGGATTGATGGTTCTCCACCTCTCCTATTGGTTCTCTTCCGCCCTGCAGACACCCAGTTCCCCTTCGACCCATTCATGTCGTCCACCAAACCAGGGAGCGAGAAAAATTGAAAATCAATGGTGAAGCGACAGAGGCAACGAGGAAAAGTCCTCGTAGTAGAGAACCCAATTCCCTTTATCTGAGAAGATATGATTGGAATGTCGGCCAAAGTGATAAAGACAACAACTTCTACATGAAAGCTCTCTTACAATTTGTTTTCAAGCAGAATTTGACATTTCGTTGGGTTTCAGCATATGGGTTTTATTTTAAGGGAGTTCTCTTGAAGACTTCAACCAATTCCCTCAGCTTCCTCAAAATTTTCAGAATAAATTTGATATTTTATTGTTTTTCATTAATACTTAAACGGTGATGTCAATTATCAGAAAATATACGTAAATAATAAGGGTAAGATTAATCGATTAGCTAAACCACAAGAGTTTTTGCCCCTCTTTTTCATAACTAGGTCATTAGATACTGAAGTTGATCATTTCTTGGCTGCTTGCCCCTTAGTCCCATTCTCACAAATCTCCTTTAAATCTCACATAGTGGACTATTATCATTCAAACTGGTCAATGCTAGACTAGTTAACTTTTTGGACTGAGATGGATGACCCTAGTAAGAAAGAAATTATTCTGTGTTTCGTAAATGCTCACTAATCCTATAGAAATTTTGGAAAGCTCGATGTGGTTTGACTTTCAACAATAAGCTTTTTGATATTCTAAACATAGCAAATAATCTAAATTTGGTCTTGATAGTGGCTTGTGCTTTGAAATTGGAGATCAAAATCATATTTCAAATGGCGGAATGTCCTCTTCTCTTCAACACTAATTATGCCCATTCCCAAGTCTACGGGTGAGCGTCAGTTTGATTCCGTTCCATGGAAGAACTTGGAGCCCACCTTGTAGCGGTCAGTTTTACGGTTTTTGGAATCAGAACCTATCTTGTGAAAATTTGATTTTCAATAATGATAATATATAGTTTAAAACTTACAATATTTTTATTGATTAAATTAAGTAATTTAATGTGTAGATTAATATAATATATTAATATATGGTTTAAAATGTGTCATTATAATGAAAACAAATGATCAAATCAATTAAGTAACTCATGGTAAAATGAGACATGGTTTTTCTAACCATGAGTGCTTGGGTTCAAATCTTCACACCCTTAAGAATATTTTGTAATTTTATTTTAAGGCAAGTCCGATTCCAATTCTGGTTCCACCAAGAATATTTCAATGCTCACCCCTAGACTTAGTTCAAATCTTCACATCCTTAGATCTTCGAACCAACGTGGGTGGGTCATTTCAAGGTTGGTTCCATTCAGTTTCAGGTAGAACCTGCCCATTTGCTCACCCATAACCCCCCCCCTCTTCATATTAAGGTTAAGGGAAAATTGTAGATTAGTACCTTGTACTTTGGGCCTAGTCTCACTTTAGTTTCTAAACTTCAAGGTCATTTACAAATGTACATATACATAATTTTATACATACACGTGTATATATGATTAGAAAATACATATAAATTATATTTTCATTTGTTTGACAGGTTCAGATTGGGCTTGAGGCCTGTGGAGGTCTCAACCCAAACCCATCCCAAGTTTAGATCAGACCAAGTTTTCGGGCCCAAGCCTATCCCACAGCCTAAAAAATTAGGCCCAACCCATGCAAAGGATTGGGTTAGGTCAGGATTGAGTTGGGACTGTGAATTTTTATCCCTCAACCCTTCACCTGTTTGGTTCAATTTAGAATCGGAATCAAAATCAGAATTGGCTGGAATGGATTCTCATTCTCAGGGGAGGGGGCTATGGTGTTGATGAATCCACACTGTGCCCGTAGCAAAAGAGTTGTTTTGCATTGTGAGCAAGATAGGTTCAAACCATACTGGACCCCATAGATATCTTGCAAGATATAGTGTTCAGTCCACATTGTGTGTTTTGATTCCATGCATCTACAACATGTGAGATAAATCAATGTTATTGATCAAAGATGGAACTATTTTATATTTTTAAGCAATATAAATAATTCAAAAAAATACAATTTAATCACGAGTAATACAAAATAATATTAATTATATATAATATAAATAATTAATAAAAATATTAGAAGAGGAATTCATAAAATTTAATAATGATTATAAAACATTAAAATTCTTAATTTGAAACCTAATTAATAAAAATTAAAGTAACAGAAAGTTGTATAATTTCAATAAAATATTAATAATAAGATAATAATATTAATTAATAATAAGACAAATAATTAGTAGAAATCAATGGTGAATTAATAAAAATGAAATATTACAAAATTATAATATTAATAGCAGTGGCAGGCGCTCAACGCTCTCAGCCACAGTACTCCCCAAGGGTAGAAAGTAGGGTAAAATGAAAAAGCATAGAATGACTTTTGTTATTTCCCACCACCATTGCAAAGACCATTCCACGAGTTTTCACCGTGGATGATATAATGCGATATAGGGTGGATCGGCAATATATCATTGGTCCATGGTTTTCAAAACCGGACCGGACAAAAAAACTGATAACTGTTCAGTCCCCTGGGTCCAATTATATTGTAAACCGCTATTTCCTAAATAACCGTTAAAAAGGTCAAAAACCGTTGACCCAAGTGATCAAACCGCTAAACCGTTCGATCCGGGTAGTGGTTCACAGGTTGTGAAATTTATTTTCATTGGATTTAAAAAAGAACAAAAAAACCCTTCCACCCTTCCTTCCTCTCAGACCTCATGCCCTAACAGCGCGACCAACGACCTGCAGTAGCCACGACTGACGTCGACCGATGGTGACTACGACGGATTTCCTTCCTTAGAAGGGCTTCATCTATAGCAACCGGTGGCTACAACCTTCCTTCCTCATAGAAGGGCTTCATCTCCTGCGATCGGCAATTATGGCCTTCATTCCTCACAGAAGGGCTTCACCGGTGGCGGATTTCTTCTTGTAATCAGTAGCAACAAGGAGCAAGAAGGAGCAGTAGCAGCTGGCGATGAATTTTGAATTTTTCTGTATTTATTTGCAAATTTTTGTGTTTTTTTTTATTTTTTTTATAATTTTCTATGTTTTAGCCAGTTTTACAGATTAAGTGAGACATAGAAGCCTTATTATCTTATATCTAATATCATGAAAGAGGGTGAAAATTTTGTCATGAAAAACAAGAGATTTTCATCACTTCTATTTAAACAATTGGAGTTACTCCCCCTTGAATTAAACCTTTCCATGGGCAATTACAAACCTTGAACAAATTTTAAACGCAATGGATGCCGAAAGGAGCAAATAAGCTTTAATGCTTCATCAGTTCATTTTAATTAAATCAATATATCTTACTATCTTTTTTTTTATATAATATATATATTACTATCGATCTATGCTACAGCCTAACCAAACGCACTGAATTACCGAAATGATCTGTGCAACGGGATAATCACACTTCCAAACACCACCTAAACTTGTTGAAAAGAAGTTACACTTCCTCGCCTATCTCCTCCCTTTCTTTCTAAGCGTCATCTTCAAGAACCTTTACTTCTTCATTTACCAAAAATTACTGGACCGCTTAGGGCCAATAAGCCTAATATTATGATCCGGACCTTGGGCCGCCCAAACCTGATCCAGTGTATGGCAAAACCCCTTCTTGGCCAGACAAAACTAAACCTTACAACAATTCAGGTCAGTATTGGGCCGGTGATGGCCAGTTAATGGATTGTGCAAATTTAGGAACAGAATACAGGAAAATACACACAAATCTTACTTAGATAATGCATATATATACAAATTCCGAACAGCGGCTATTTTGCAATTTTGTTGAACAATTATTTGTAAATCAACATTTTTCTTCAAATTTCGTACGGATTTATTAGTGAAAAGTCAGCATTTCTACTTACCGAATACCAACAGAACGGCTGTAGTTGGAGATAATTCGACGCGCGTTGATCTTGTTGAAATCAACTTATTTAATTCTTGCTCGAAACCTCCGCAAAATTCGACGGGCTGTGTTAGAGAGATGGTAGCTGAAATGGGTTTGGTTTAAGAAGAATAAGTAAGAAATGCACCAGAACGCTTGGAGATTGAAATAAGCAGCTCGAGCATTTGGGCCTTACTACATTAGTATATATAAGTTTCAAAAGGCGAACATATACATGTCTTTCGATTTCTTTTTTGAGAAAATTTTTATTTAGTATCCTGTACTTTGAGTCTAGTGTGATTTTAGTCTTCAAATTTTAAAATTGTAATAATTTATTAATTAGCAGTTAATTTACCGTTAAATGATATTTGAAAAAGATAAATGTCCTTCGAATGTTATTTTATTTTCTTTATCATCTATCTAAACGTTGATAAAAAATTAACATTCCTAAATCCTTTCTTCCATTCAAGAAAGTTACGGTCATATTTGATTGAGCATTTTGGTAATACCAACTTTCTTGAATAAAAGAGACAATAATTTGAGACTATTAATTTTTTTATCATTGTTTGAATAGTTGATAAAGAAAATTAAATGACACTCGAAGGAAGGATATTTGTATCTTTTTAAAATGTTACTTAACGATTGATTAACAACTAATTAACGGCAGGTACTGGATCATCACATTCTGAACAGATACTGAATTATCATATTTTAAAATTCGATGATTAAAATGGCACTGGACCCAAAGTACGAAAATTTTCCCTTTCTTCTTATAATTGAAAAGAAGAAGAAGAAAACAAGCTTCTGTTAGGTGGATTGATAAAAAAATACAAATATGGTAGAATGTGGGCCCGGATGTAAAATAAAACCTTAAAAGAAGCTGGTAAGGACAAAGAATAATTCGGTATCCCAAGCTACAAATAAATTGATCAAAGGCACAGGCTTGTAAGGGAAACCAAATATAATTCCAAGTTCAAGGGGTTTCTGAGGTTCCATTTGGTTCATGGTGAAGATTGGAAATAGAATTAGAATTGGAACTGAAATCCTCTTAAATGGGAATTTGAATTACCCATTCCTGATGTATGTTTGGTTTAAATGGGAATCGGAGTTAGACTCCAATCGATGTTTGGTTCATCTGAAGCTAAATCAACCAATTTTTTTAGTTTTGTATTAGTTTATTAACATTTTATTTTTATTTCTTTATTATTTATAATTATTTTATTATTTTTGTTAAAATATTTAATTAATATCTTAGTAATTTTTTATTTTGGCATTTGATGGATGATATTGAATTTGCTTTTTAATGATTTACTTGACTTTAACGATGTATTTAGTAATTCTGACTACTTAACCTGACGAATTTTAATGATTTTCATAGTTTTGACAATCCGATTTTTGATATTCGATGAGTTGCACTAAGTTTGATTTGATTTGATGATTTGATGAACTTGATTTTGATGATGAATTTTGATAAATTTAAGTTGTGCTTGTTTGTGATGTAAAACCTCACCATTGGTTCAGTTTTGTTGGTGTTTGTGGTGTAAATTAAGATCGATGTAAAACTCCACTCTATTTCAGATTTGTGGGCATTTGGATGGAGTGGAGTTTTATATCGATCGTAAATTGATGTAAAACATCACTTATGATGAGGTTTTACATTGATTATTGATGCAAAAACTACATTAAAATCAATGTAACACTACACTGATAAGCATGTTTTTTTATGTTCAACGATTCACATATTTTAAATGATTAATGTGAAACGTCATGTTGGACTTTGATTTGATAAACTTGATGATCTTGTTGATAAATTTAATGAATTTGACAATTTTAATTTTTGATATTTGATCAGTTGATCTAAATTTGAGTTGACTTGTTGATATCATGAATTTGATAAGGTTGACAATTTAGATTCTTGATATTTGATGAGTTGTATTAAATTTGATTTGGTTTCATGATTTAATAAACTTGATTTTTATGAATTTGATAAATTTGACTATTTTGATTTTGGTATTTTGTGAGCTATACTGATTTTAATTTGATTTGATGACTTGATAACATTGATTTTGATAATGAATTTGATAAATTTGACAACTTTTTATTTTTTATATTTGATGAGATGATATTACAAACTTGATTTAATGAATTTGACAATTTTAATATTTGATGATTTGAATTGATTTAATTTAATTTGATAAACTTAATTTTGATTTTTTTATGAATTTATTTGATTTGTTTTGATTATCTTGATTTGATGAATTTTGACAATTTTGATATGTGATAATTTGATTTGATTTGACTTGATAAACTTAATTTTGATTTTTGATATTTGATGAGCTGATTTGATTTAATTTAATAAACTTATTTTAATAAATTTGATTCTTGACAATTTTGATGATTTAATTTAATAAGTTGTACTAAATTGGTTCCTTAATTTTGATTGATGATTTTTTTCTTTGATAAATTTTAGTCACTTGAAAAACATGATTTTGACAAGGATTTTGATAATTGATGATTTGATGATCCTTAATAGTTGTTATTATTATTATTATTATTATTATTATTATTATTATTATTATTATTATTATTATTATTATTATCTAGATTAAAGACAAGAATGATGTAGATTAAGGGTGTTTTTGCATGAAGAAAAGTACATAACCTTGCAAAGGGAGGTGCTTATGGGGAAGATAATAGAATCTTGGTTCACTTTCCCTAGTCATAACGTAAGCACTTAGATACCTTAGGTTCGAACTTTGTTTGATTGCATTTCTTGAAATTAGGGTGTGCATCAAACAGTGAAGGGAGGTTTCACATGGAATTAAAGAAGAAGATTTTCCTACCATTTAAAGATAAGAAAAGAAGACACTGTGATGACTCTCCATTAAGAGCCTCTTAATCAAGTGAACTCCTTTTATCATGGTTTTTTTTACCCTTTTTTGCCCTCGATACCCTGATTAGGGTTTTCACCAAGTCTAGGTGTTGCCTAATTGTTTCTCATTGAAGCCATTACTAATTTTCATCCGAGTTGGACAAATTTTATCTTACTATGACCTAATGCTTTTACTTGGAGTGCCCTTTTTGGTTTCACTTGCCTTTTCAAGTGATGCAATTATTTGCCTTTATTTCTCTTTACTCACTCTTTCTCCCGTCATTGCCATAAGGGGTGGGGGACCTTGTCATCAGATATTTTGATTCCTTGTCCTATTCTTATCCTTGATCAGGGAGGTTTTAGAACTAGGACAAAACTTGGTTAAGGTTCAAGGGTAGGTTGGTTGTTGATATAGATTAGTTTATTTTGTTATGAGTTATTAGGATATTGGAATCCTTAAAATCTCTCTCTCTCTCTCTCTCTCTCTCTCTCTCTCTTCTTCTTCTTCTTCTCATCACTGAAATTTTGCTTGGTCCCTTCAACCTACTTCCTTATGCCCACTTTTGAGACTCCAAAGCATAAAAACGTAAACACACCAACCTGAGATTTGTTGAAACCCAAAATCCCCTCTCATGTGTAAATCACACAAGTAAATTTAAAAATCAATAAGAACATCAAGATCAACATTTAATACTACATAGGCTTTAGAACCTCGATCAAACATGATCCTTAGACTTAGAAAACTTTAACATAGTTACACAAACTTCAATGGTCCACCTCATCACACCAACTTTTTCTCCAATGATCCCGATCTACGCAATGTTCAAACCTTGACTCTGTGAAATAAAATCCAACATATCCATTGTCCGAAATAAACTAAGATATGATTAACCCCTAAATCCCACATTAAATCTACGATGGTTAACCTCAAAAATCCTAAGATTCTATTTCAACAACCTTAGATGAATAGAACTATATAACCAAAATCAACAAATTTTTCTTAGATCTAATACTTACATCTAATTCCTTATCTTAATCTATGCTTGCACACCAAATTTTAACTCAAAAATTTCATATCTAATTGTGTGGTCAAAGAAGATACCAATTTGATTATTATGATTAAAATGCACAAAAAGCCTAGCCCAAGCAATTAAATACCACTCATTAAGTCCAAAATCCTCAAAATAACCCACCTATCCAATTTCAAACTTAATTTCCTACATTGACCATGCAATGTTCTACTTAAAGCCTTTTTATTAATTCATATGCCATAAGTTAAAACCCTAGTCTAAATCAAAATTTTCAATCCACAAATTTGACCAATGATCCATCTCTTACATTCGATTCAAGATATTCAAAATTGTTTGTTTACCAAATTTCATCCCAAGATTATTTCATTTGACCCACTATCAAGCCAAGATTCTATTTCAACAAATTTTGTTAATTAACATACTGATGGCATTTGACCAATTAGACCTCACCACCGTACTCAGAGGTTCAAAAAACCCTAGTACATCGGGTTTCATGACCTAATTCTACTATTTGACCATTTTTGTTTCAAGCCTTCTTATTGATTGATGAGATATAAGCTAAAACCTAATCTGAACAAAATCTTTCAATCCATACCTCTTATCAAAGATCTAACCTTTCCATCAGATTCAAGATGTTTAAAATGTCTACTCCCCAAATTTCATTACAAAATTCCTTTGATTGTCCCATTATCAAGCCAAGATTTAGTTTCGGTAAACTTTATTGATTAGAGAATGTCAACCATAAATCTTCACCATATGAATCTCAATTTACCAACCAAACCTTAGCACCATGCTCAGAGACTTATTTTATGTCAAATTTCAATGACCTAATTCACTCGTTTGACCATGAGACTAGAAAATTTTCATTTTTACGTACCAGATTAAATCACCCCTTCATCTGTCCCAACTTGAAACCTTAAGAGAGTGAGAATGATGTTAGCCCTATACTTAATCTATTAAAACACATGGATCAATAAAATTGAACCTAATAGACTTAAGAAACTCAAAAACTCAAAGATATAAAACTGAAAATAAAAGTGGGTAAGAGAGTTACCTATAGCTCCTCACTTATTTATTGGTGAGGTCCACTTGATGGCTATATTATAAGCTCTTTGTAACAGCTTTATAGGTCAGGGTGCAATGAAAGCAAGACCATTAAGACAGTTATCACATGGCCGAGTGTTACTTTGACATTAATTAGTGAGAGGGCTCAACTAAGGTCATGACATTCATAATAATGACTCATC